ACGGTCAGATCGGGCTTTTGCGAATTCGTGCTCGAAACGGCAGTATCTGATCGCGGGAATGTGAGATATGTGAATGTAGAATACTTACGCAGCCAGTGATTGTCAATTCTCCCAAATCTCACCCGGTCACTTCCCGGTGTCACTTGTAGCACGTACTTCCGAAGGTAGCAGGTAGGATATCGCGCGCGCAACCGAGGAACCACTGATGATGGACAATGGTACGGCATGGGCAGCTCGACACAACGCATCAGCATAGCGGTATCAGTCGCCATCGCCATCGTTGCTGCTCCTGCTGCTGACACCTGGAACAACGGTTCAACGATCACGACCACTCTACAAAGGTACGGCCAATGCCAAGACGAGCGGTGTCATTGACACCGCACCGCAAAGCGGTTTGCATATTATTAAAAGACGTAGACTGTACGTATGCTCCGTCCACTAGTGAGCATAGTGACGTCATAATGTCGGCATTTTTAGGGCACTACTGACGTACGACGACCAACAAAAATGACGTCATTATGACGGTCTAATCTCATACCCAATTGTCGTTATTGTATGTCGTATAAGAGAGCAAATCTGTACCTCAGAGGTAAAGTGTACATGTCACAAAAGGTAGATTTCACATGGAAGTTTGATAAAGGATATGTTGATGATTAGTTTGCTAATTTAGTGACTTGGTACTGTTTAAGAGACTCTAAGTTTCGCAAACCTGTAATCTCGCCGAAAAAAATATGTTCTCCTAAGGAGATCGTGACTATATGCATGACCCAGTACAGATAACTCGTTTATGGCAAATGGAGGACAATAGTGGATTGTCAAATCAACAAGCCGCTATTTTCGACATATACGGTAACAGTCCGCCAAATATGACGAATGAGCTTGAACATCCATCCAAAAAATTTTAGCAACCAATAGCTGTGAGATATTGAAAACAAAATATTGTCAAAGTATGAGAAGACAGCTTGTCATTGAAACGTCACCAGCTTATTGGATATTAATAAATTACATGGTGGCGTATCGAAAACGAAACAGACGCATTTACTGGCAGCTCAGTATTTTTTGGAAAAACGCTCAGACCCTTCGATTTTGTTTTCGAGGGGGACACAAGTTTAACACGTTAACACGTGCAGGCCCCTGAGCGGGGGTGACACCAACCCTAAAATCTAAAATGGAAAGGGGGGTCTACTGATACCTTATTTTAAATTCCCTTTATAATGATCTAAAATACATGAGCTTCAGTTTAGTAGTTTTGAAGATTTATTGATTTAAAGCTTAAAGTAGACTTTAATAGGTACGTCAGATTAGTAGTACTTACAGAAGAAATTTGACTAAAAGAATTTACTTAATAAGTGACTGCTTTTCTTCACTACGTCCATGGTTTGTTTATCATTTTGTTGTTGAAAATAGCTATTGGAGCATTTTTTTGTGGCAAAAAAGTTATTTCTTGAAGAAAGATAAGGAAATATCTCGTACTTATTTTAAATAGGAATTTAGTACATAGATTGATTTGACCAAACTTTGTTGCTAAAATAACTTGTAACGCTTTATTACATAAATTAACCTTGGTATATTCCACAGCAGAAAGAGTTGAAATTATCGAAATATTTTTCGAAAATAATCAACAAAAATATTTAATGAGCGACATGAGAACAGTAACGTGCATCGAAAATATGTTCTAGAATTTGTAGCTAAATTTCGGGAAACTGGGTCAGTCGCCAATAAAAAACGCAACATTGAAAATCCCATAAGGAACGAAGCAATAGAAGTGGCGGTTTTAGGGAAAGTTTATGTAGATCCTACGTTAAGTACCCGCAAATTGGAGACTGTGTGTGGTGTTAGTCGACGTACTGTCCAACGGATTCTAAAGGCCCATAGTTTTCATCCGTATAAAATTCACCTGGTACAAGAACTTAATGAAGACGATTTTGATCGGCGATTACAATTTTGTGAAGATATGAGTGAACGAATTATAAACCATGAACATTTTCTATTCAACACTTGCTTTTCCGACGAATGTTCCTTTTTCTTAAATGGCTTAGTAAATCGTCATGACTGCCGATATTGGTCCGATTCTAATCCCAGAATTTATCATGAGGTTCATACACAGCAGCCACAAAATTAAATGTTTGGGCTGATATTTTTGGTGATCATTTAGTTGGTCCTTTTTTCTTACCTGGAAATTTGACCGGTGAAATGTATTTGGGATTACTGGAAGACGCCATAGATCTTGCATTAATAGCCATAATTGAAAATCAGAATGATCGGCGGTACATTGCGAATAGGTTGATGTTCCAACAGGATGGTGCCCCACCACATTACGCATTACGTGTTCGACAATATTTAGATCAGACGTTTCCCGGTCGATGGATTGGTAGAATAGGTGCCATTGAATGGCCTGCAAAATGTGCGGTAACGTTTTGAGCAAAATCTTTATTATTGCATGGAGAGTCATCATCATTTTCAACATTTACTTGCCTAACGGGTCAGTTCATTCTTCATTTTTAAATTACTTTGCTGTCAAATGTATTGATCTCCACTAATGATGATGTATTAGTTTTATTTAAGCTTTAAATCAATAAATCTTCAAAACCACTGAACTGAAGTACATTAATTTTATATCATTATAAAGACCTTTAAAATAAGGAATCACTCGACCCCCCTTTCCATTTAAGATTTTGGGGGTGGGATTGCACGTGCTAACATAATTTTTTGCCAAACTTGTGTCCCCCTCGAAAACAAAATCGACGGGTCTGAGCGTTTTTCCAAAAAAAAACTGAGCTGCCAGTAAATGCGTCTGTTTCGTTTTCGATGCGCCACCCTGTATAATTCACTCAAAATTTAAAAAAGTGTTTGATTTGTTTACTATTGTTGATTGTTCGCCTACCGTGTATTTTTTCTCTATAAACCTCTTGCAGATAGCCATTAAACTCCTACTTGATGACAAAGACTCTACCAAAAATTTCATAGATATTCCCGATTTCCAATCATTCATTCGTTCATCGGTACCATTATGGCACCTTAGATTGATATTCGCATAAAACCATTCAAGTTTTTCGATATCTATACACCCATAAAGTTGAATATTTTTCGTTGTCCACGAAGTGAATAAACATCCACACTATATTTACAGCGATTGAGAAATACCCAAATGTATATCGTAAAGCTACCAGCAAACCTGAGGGCACATAATTCTTTGAAATCCGACAACGCTTGGTCCCAGTGGAGCAAACTCGGCCAACTGTTGAAATATACTCTCTTCTATTCTTCATAGTGCATAGTGGAATTTTTCCCAAAATCGTTGCACAACACTTGAAAAAATGCAAATGAAAATTTTAAAATCATCTCCATGACGCCCCAAATGACATTTTGATAAAACCTTATGAAAAATGGAAGCTTCAAATGAAATGGATATGCACAGAATTTTGAAATTCATATTGCAGGTTTCAAATTGCAGATGCATAGACTTGAACCGGATTTTTCGGTATTTTTACCGAAATGAGAATATTTACCGAAAACGTAATTTTCCACGATTTTTCCAAAAAATTCGAATACTTCCTTACTTGCCAAAAAAGAGCTGGAACCAAAATTAAAGCTAACAGTTAATTTTATGTAATTTTCGTAGTTTTGGGTTGCATATGATTACGAACGCACATCCTTATCACTGACTCCGCTTGCCCTAAATTGATCTTTGAGCGTACAAAAGGTACAGACTGGTAGATTACCGACATTATCGCATCACCTGGCAAGCTTTAAAGAAACCGAAACCTGTCTGTTTTCAAAATAAATATTTAACCAAATTGTGAGGTGAATTTATAAGTCTAGAAGTACAACAGAAAAAAGTATTCACAATGCTATAAGCAAGAATCGCAAAAGGAGTTTCCAGAATGAAAGCAAGTAATATAATATAGAACTATGCCCTCAAAAAACATGCTGTGTGCGCGCTCAATACAATTATAAACTTTTTTCATAGACGGCGCTGCGTAACTCAAAGGTCCTTGATCGACCTACTGACTTACAAGACTTCAACCAAGAGCAAAGGTCCTACGGACCGCTCTGACAGACAATGACGAATAGAGAGGTCCTTGATTCACCACTGATCTTGGGACGGCATTTTTCCCTATACCGAATTCAACGACACTATTTACTGATTCCGTTTTTTTTTCCTCGATTCGGCAACGCTACAGAAAACTTCAAAGGCAATTTAAATCAAATAAAAAGGAAAGATAACAATAAGTTTTGCAAATATTTTGGTGAATAGATATTTTTGATTACGACTTATAATATCTAGACGATGAATAATAGGTGGATGCGGATCCATTTACAAATATCGATGTTTTAGGACCCAGGAATGCAGAATGTACTGTTTGTTTACATTTGGTGTGGATTTCTACATCATAAATTGATAATAAATTGTTTTTGATGTAACAAAAGGGGATGAACCAAAAACAGTGAAAACATCCTATTAAATATAATAGCTAGAAAATCGACCTATTATTTCTTGAATTTTCATTGGTACATTCAAATAAGTTTCCCCTCATAAAATGATAGAAATTGGCTATAAAGTTATTCTAATTCTAAAGCTCAAAGACATGGTATTGCATCTAGAATATACCCTTCTTCATAAAACAACCGCTTTTTCAGATTTTATTCAATATTTCAATAGGAATTACTGATATTAGGAGAGCTTTGACAGCTTCTGTTCAAATTGCATTTCAATAAGCTGCTCCCTAATTGGTCGAGGACCCCGTTAGATTTTAATGTTAATGAAATCGACCCTTAGTATACTTTACCCCTGAAGTATAGAAATACAGTCGCTATGACGAGGATACGAGGAATGTCTTTTATGCTTCGCATATAGAAAAATAGTAGGCCACGCGGATCGAACGTCAGTACTGAATCTTAACCTCACTCTTTAGTAAACTTAAATTTAAAGTTTCACAACAATACGTGCAGTCTTCTCACTACAGTGAATTTTTAAGTGCCACCAAGTCATTAGAATAATGGAACTCAACCCAGAACATTTTCGCGCCATAATTTATTACAACTTTCAGAGACAATTATCGCAACAAGCATGCTTTGCTAAGTTACTGTCTGTTTTCGGAAACGAAGCGCCACATCAGTCGACAATTTCTTGTTGGTATGGGGAATTCAAACGTGGTCGGGTGAGTCTTAGCGACGATCCCAGGGTGGGTGCACCAAAAACGGCAGTCACCCAGGAAAACGTCGATGCTGTGCGCAAACTCATCATTGAAGATAGACATGTGACAGATCGCGAAATTGAGGCGTCCTTGAAGATCTCAAGGACCTCAATTCAGAAAATTTTACATGAAGAATTAGGAGTAAGAAAATTAGTTTCTCGTTGGATACCCCACCTGTTGACTGAAGAGCAGAAAGCAGCCAGGGCTAATTGGTGTCAAAAAACGCTTGACCGTTTCAATTCCGAAATATCAAAAAATGTGTACAGCATTGTTAGTGGTGATGAATCGTGGATTTACTGTTATGAACCAGAAAATAAACGACAGTCGGCTGTTTGGGTGTTCCAAGGTGAAGAAAAGCCAACAAAGTCATCCGTTCTCGAAGTATTTCGAAAAAGATGGTCGCGGCATTTGTATCAAAAGCGGGTCATATTGCAACAATTCCTCTTAATGAACAAAGAACTGTTACTGCGGATTGGTATACCACCATTTGTTTGCCAAAATTCATCACCGAGCTTCGAAAAATCAACCCCGAAAGAAGAATCATCCTCCACCAAGGCAATGCAAGCTCGCACACAGCCCAAAAAACAAGGCAGTATTTAACGGAAGAAAACGTGGAATTATTGGACCATCCTCCATATAGTCCCAATCTAAGTCCTTACGATTTATTCACTTTCCCGCAAATTAAAAACAGACTGCGTGGTCAAAGGTTCCTGTCACCAGAAGAAGCAGTTGACGCATTCAAAAATGTCGTTTTGGATCTGCCAGCAAACGAGTGGAATGCAGATGTGTATTAATGTTCGTGGATGATACTTAGAAAAACAATAAAGTCATTTAAAGCTACCTACCGTGTTGTTTTATTTCCATATGCAAAACTTAATAGACATCCCTCGTATGACGTCTATCATCAAAAATTGAGTATGTGACAACGACGCCCCACAAGCAGGGTAAAAAGGCTCCGAAACTCATATTCTACTAACCTACCACTCTTGAACCCTCTCGTTATCACCTGCGCAATTTTCAGCAGTATTCATACAAAGTACAGGATAGACCATTAAGTTGAGCGGATTTTAAAAAATAATCATAGAAAAAACTACAACGCGTTGGGAAGATTATTTATATTTTTAATAAAGTAATTTTATTTTTTACAAATAACATCATTTAGATGTGAGCCATCGAGACGTGCGCACTCCTCGAATCTCGACCTGAAATTTGTGAAAACTCGCTGGCATATCGCTCGTGGGATAGCGGAGATATCCTCGGAAATGTTGTGCTTGAGCTGGACAATCCTCGTCGGTTTATTGGAGCAAAATTATGCAGTTATCGAAAGAAAAGGTTACGTAGCATTGCTGTGTAGCGATTAGAATGTAATGTTACAGTCTGGACTTAATCGTTTTCGAAGAAATAGGGTCCTATGATTCCTTCAGCTGACATGGCCGCTAAAACTGTAACATAGTGCGAATGCAAAGGTCGTTGGTATTTCAATATTGGATTTTCTACGACTCAATACCGGTAATTTTGGTTGTTGACAAATCCACTCAAATGAAAATGAGCTTCATTAGAAAAAGAAATATTGTTTAAACTTGGAAAGCGCTGTAACATTGTTTGGACAAACAAAATTTAAGGTTTTGATATGGCGAGCTCAGCAGATCTCTTTTGGGATAATAACTGTGGATAGAGCCATACGGTCTGAAAAAAAGTATTTTATTTTTTTTTATAACTCATCGTCGCAGGCTCCCGCCCCAACTGGCGCAGCTAGCAGTAGGATCTGGTCAAGAAGTTCCGTCGCGCCGCGAAATTTCTGTGAGTTTCAACCCTTAACGGACAAATGAATCTATCTGCAAGGAAAGAATTACTTGGAACTCAGGAGTTGAGGTCAAGACGTTGGACTTATCAAGTGGACATTGGTGAACCATCATTTTTCCTATAATTCCTTGCTTTCCGTGTTGGCTCAAAGGCTAAGTATCTCCCTAGAGTACCAAAGCAGATGTTACTTTAGTGTTCATTTTAAGTGGATCAATGCATATGATCGAGTCTAAGAGTTAGTGAATATAACTTCTTCAGACATAAAAATTGAACAAATTAGAGATAAGAAAACAAGTCAAGTAGTAGTAACATTAGCACAATGAGTAGCGAATCACAGGTTATTGTAAAGAAGGAAAGTTATGGTAATATTCAATAAGCTGGTGATGTTTCAATGACAAGCTGTTACCTCATACTTTGACAATATTTTGTTTTCAATATTTCACAGCTATTGGTTGCTAAAATTTGTTGAATGGATCTTAAAGCTCATTCGCTATATTTGACGGACTGTTACCCTATAGGTGGAAAATAACGGCTTGTTGATTTGACAATTCTGGTGAAATCCACCCTAAGACTATTAATATTGTAGCGTTTTTCTGGGTTTTTTTGGGTGTGGATTAAAACACTGGATTCCACAAAAAGAAATGCACTAATATATTTTACTCGACTAGATAGAACATTTATGTACACCACTATTTATGTCTAACTAATTCTTATGTCGCGCCACTGACTAGACTAAACTCCAATCTGCTCTACTCTGGTGTACTCTGTACTCTGCTTCCATATCCCGGCCGCCGAGTTATATAGTCCGCATCGTTGAGTCGAGACGAATCGGGAGCCACATACCGGCCTTCCAGAATATTCGAGGTCACTTCGTGTCGATCTAGGAGCCGAGTCACTGCCACGATCCTCACAGACGCCCCAAGCGGCTTGTACGGTCGTGGTCCGCGTAAAAACAGATATCGGCCATGGAGCTCTGGCAAGTAGGAGACTCTCCCAACAGATGGCGCCAACAGTACTATTTGTCATCGTCACAATATAATCTATCGACTATAGAGTTGCGAATAGGAAGGTTACCATTATAGGCGCTTGTGGGGGACTCCCAAATAATGTGATCTGACCGTAGTCATACTGAGGAGATGACTAGAGGGAGCATCCGCATATGCCATGACGACTTCAAATCCTGTTTATGGAAGTCCATGTTTTGCGTGGTAAGTTAAATCCAGCTGGTTTGTCGGTAATGCAAAGCAAGCAATTGTTTTGCTGCGCAGTCCATTCTTCAGACCATGCGTTGGTAATGCTGAATGCCTCTTCTGCATTGGTTGTTCTCGTTGGTGGTTTTCGAGAAGGAAGCCGATTAGTATTTTCCGCTTCAATATCTTGGTGGATCGGTAGACTGTTATCCAAAATCTATTTCGATTCAAGTGCAAGGGTATCAACCCGACGCAGAGGTGGAGCTGGGATATCGCTTAATATTGGAAGCCATTCGAAGGGAATGGTTTTGATTACTTCAGCAATCATCATCATGCTGTTGTGTAGTTGAGTGTCTACCTTTGTAACGTGAGGGCTGTTTAACCAGACAGGAACACAGTATTCGGCAGCCGAGAAAACAAGCGTCAGAACAGTAGTGCTCCCCAGGTAATACCACAGAATTTTTAAATATTATTATTTATCATCTTCAGCTTTTCAGCAGCCTTGTTAGGTATCAACGGATAGGGTACTATCCAGTGTCACGCACGAGTATTTCGGTGATTTATTGTGCCCAAGGATGGTGCTTTCAAACCGTATGTTGAGTCCTGTTCCAACGAGTTTTTTGTTGAGATGGAGGCATTTGGTTGGAGTCTCTACTTACAAAAATAATCGCCCGTTATTTGCTGTTAGAACATTCTCAGATGCTTCAATTGAACTGCACCTTGTCGCGGGAGCCCAGTTGTCTGCGTATCCGAACTTTTTTGATTCTGTCCCCGGAGATCTGCAATATACTGGCTGAACAGCACTGGAGCGAGCACTGATCCTTGTGGTAACCCGTTCTTAAGTGTCGTCGGGGAGCTCAATGTCTGTGCCCATAATTACCTGAAAGATCCTATCATTAAGCGTGATGTGTGATTTGTAAGAAATTACACGAAGAAGTTCGTATATTACGCTTTCTCTCCACATGGTGTCATAAGCCGGCGAGAGGTCGACAATTGCCACGTGGGGTAAGCGGCAAGCGCCACCCCCAAATCTTGGTGCAAGAGACCCCCCAAATCTTGGGACAAGAGGCCACCCCAAAATCATGAGGCAAGCTGCAAGCGGCACCTCCAAGATCGTGGGTCTAGCGGCAAGCGGCAGCCCCAAGATCGTGAGGCTAGCGGCAAGCGGCACCCCCAAGTTCGTGGGGCAAGCGGCACCCCAAAATCGTGGGAGAAGCGGCAAGCGGCACCTCCAGAATCGTGGGGCTAGGGCAAGCCACACCCCCAAGATAATGGGACTAGCGGCATCCCCAGGATCGTGGAGCTAGCGGCCAGCGGCACCCCCAAGATCGTGGAGTAAGCAGCAAGCGGCACTCCAAAATCGTGGGGCAAGCGGCACCTCCAACCCTGGGACAAGCGACAAGTGAAACCCCCAAATCATGGGTCAAGCGGCAAGCGGCACCCCCAAGATCGTGTTGCTAGCGGCAAGCGTCACCCCCCAAAATCGTGTGGCTAGCGGCAAGCGGCACCCCCCAAAATCGTGTGGCGAATGGCAATCGGCACCCCCAAGATCGTAGGGCTAGCGGCAAGCGGCTCCACTAAGATCGTGGGGCTAGCGGCAAGTAGTACCACCAAATCGTGGGACAAGCGGCACCCCAAAAATGTTGAATAAGAGGCCCCCTAAAATCATGGAGCAAGCTGCAAGCGGCACTCCAAAATCGTGGGGCAAGCGGCAAGCGCCACCCCAGGATCATGAGACAAGCGTCAAGCGCCATCCTCTAGATCGTGAGGTAAGCGGCAAGCGCCACCCCGAGATCGTGGGGCAAGAGGCATCCCCAACATCGTGAGGCAAGCGGCACCCCAAGATTGTGGGACAAGCGTCAAGCGACACCTCCAAGATCATGGGGCAAGCGGCACCTCCAAGATCGCGGGGCAAGCGCCATCCGCCCCCCTCAAAATCGTGAGGCAACCGACAAGCGCCACCCCCAAGATCATGGAGCAAGCGGCACCTCAAAATCGTATGGCCAGCGGCACCCCAAAATCGTATGGCCAGCGGCACCCCCAACACAGCTTCTCCCAGGCTAAAAACCTGCATGGTCGACCGGGACCACCCTGAACAATTCTGTACTAATTCTATTATAGATAAGCCTATCTAGCAGTTTGTAAATTACAGAAAGCAGAGCAATTGTTCGCCACCTTTATGGGTTATCGGCAGGCTCACCGGGTTTTAGAATGGCTATTACCATACAGCGTTTGGGTTCTTAATGCTGCCAGTTTATAAAATACTCGTGAAAAATCGAGAAAGCCATACTTTTGTGTACTTTCCATAAGTATATAAGGAATTCTCACTTCAACTGAATCGTATGTGCTTTGTCTTTTGGTGCCATGGATATTTTCACCAAATGTGAAGATATGGCCTTTGGTCGTTGAGCTGGTCCGCTTTCTAGTTTTCTTAGTAATAACCGGGCTTGCCTAATAGATGCTTGAAAATCGAGACTTTTCACGGTTTCTGTAAACTTTTGCCTCCTAGCAGCATCCAAGCTGTGAAGTAGTTCATCCGTTATTTCTGATCACCGGATTGAAGGAAGTTCTGGCATAACTCCTCGCTATTTTGTGGCGAGCCAGGGATGTATTTTTTACGATACTCTCTTGTTATATGTTTCTTGTCCATATTTATTATAGCGCCAACAAATGTGGTATTTACTGGTAGGGGGTATCCATCCCAAAGAGTTATGTGGCGAAACCGTTCGAGACGAAGCATAGGCGTTGTCTCCAGGCAGCTGATCTGAGCGAATATCGATCCTTAGCATCAAATATAATGT